AGCCAGTAGGAGCTTCCCATTATTATTGTTTTAATATCACTGGTTTAACATCATGTCCTTTCTGCAGCAGTTGAAATTAGGCTTCAGTATTTTGCAATTGTAGAGGACTCTTTTGAATTAAATAAATGTAACATTTCTTAAGCGATTTCTCCTTTTTGTGGAAAATTTTCAGCCTTTTCCAAAGTAAAAGACTTCATGTTGACAAAATTTTAAATATTTTTATAATCGTTTCACCACCTGTGATTTAAAAAAAAAAAAAAAAAAAAAAGTCCATGGTTATAAAGGTGAATCCTCTTAATTTGCAAGTGGCAAAACCGCTTGCATAGGTGTGTGGTTAATTTAATGGTACTGTGCAATTCTCTTCACTTCCCTGTTCTGCTTTTGTTATATTGTCTTTCTGCTTTCTCCACTGTGTTGCCCCAGATCATTTTCCCCTCCAGTGCTACAGGCATGATCATGGGTGTTTCCAGGCACTCTGGAAGAACCCAACAGCTGATGAGCTGGGCCTCAGATTGGGAGCGCTGAGGAATTTGCGCAGCAGCTGTCTTGTCACTTTTAAAGCGCTTTTATTTTTTTTCTTATCGGCTTTAGGATTTCTCAGCACTTTGCATCCCTAACCCAATAAGCTCTTTTGACGTCTGGGGTGGGGTGAATAAAAACCCAACAAGGAACCAATAGCTCTAGGCCAAACAATTTAATACAGTGTAAAATATGAGTTTGATGTAAGTTGTCTGGGGGCTGCTCAGGCAACTCAGTCCTGAGAATTATTACTCTACACCAGGATTGTTTTAGAAAAAATATTTGAAATACTGAAAAAGTTCTAAGTACTTTACTAGCTAAATTGAATTAATCCCAATATAACATTTTACAGTGAAATTGCCAGTTTATTTCCCCAGCTTTTATAACTGAACTTTTCAACATGACTAAGGCAGTGAGCTGCGTGCCCTGAACAGCTAATCCACACTGGACAAGAACAAAGTACAGGGCAATTTGTTCAGCTAGAGCATAGTGTAGAGATAATATCAAGGAGCACCAACAAGAGGCCTTTGACTGAAGCAGCCATGTTAAAACTCTTGTATCAGATTTATTTAAAAAAAGGGTAAATACAAAAGAAAAAAGCAGTTAGTACTTGTCCTTCTTGCCACTTTTTCTAGATAAAGAAATTGTGCTTTGCTACTACAATTTTGTTATGCTGCTTTACTTTAATTTTCAAGAATGGAATTAAAAGGGAATTAAAATCTGAACAAGCAGTAGTTCAGTACAACTTCTTTGCACAAAAGACATAAACATATTTTCTGTGCTTCATAGATTTTTAAGGCCAGCTGGAGAGTTGCAGTCACCTGGCCTGATTTGTATAATATAGGCCTGAATTAATTCTTATTTGAACTAGAGCATCTCTTTTGGAAGAATGTCCAATCCTGATTTAAAATTTTTAATAGTACTGACCCTACCACAACTCTCAGTAAGTAGTTCTAACAATTACTCTCACTAGTAAAAGTCTGGGCTTTATTTCTAGTGTGAGTTTTGCCTACCTTCAGCTTCTAGCCATTGAATTTTGTTCATTGCTAGACATGTGTTCTCTCTTTAGGTCCTTGATACTGTAATCAAGTCCCCTCTTCCCCCACCCCTTTTGATAAATAAATTGAGCTCCCTGTATGAGACCAGTTTCCAATCATCTAATCATTCTTGTATAACTTTTTCTGAAACCTCTCCAGTTTTTCAGTAACTGAAGATTGTAATCCAGTAGTTGACATACCAGTGTCAAATACAGAGGTAATATATTTGTTCTTCTCCCTGTTGACTTGCTCATATATCCAAGGAGCCTTCCTGGAAACTGGCAGTCAGCCTGTTATCCCCCAAACCTCAGTTCTTTTCAGAGCTACTGTTTTCTAGGTTAGAATCCTTCATTTTGTATATATGATCACAACATTGCACCTTTCCCTGTCACCACAGCTGTACCTAGATATGGAGCCACAGATCAGCTGACCGCATCCCTTATTGTTCCTTATATCTATAGTCTTTCTCAAATATTGCTGTTATCTCTCTTCCTTTTTCACCAGGCCCTGGATCTGAAGATGGGTTTATTTACACATATACACGTATGCGGTATAGCAGGGCTCTCCATCTGGTGGCCTGTGGGATGCATGCAGCTCATAAGAGGTTAATTTATGGCCCCCAGCACCCCTGCTTTCATCCCCCCCCACAGAAACTGCTGCAGCTAGAGTCTGCAGGTTCCCTCTCCCTCCTTCAGCTTCCATTTACTGCTCTTACCCCTGGGGGCAAGGTGGGGTGGTGCAGCTGTGAGACCTGAGACTCAGGAGCTGGGGAGAGGAGAGCCTGCAACCCCTTTGCAGCTGAGAGGGGTGCTGCAGAGGTTGGGGGTGGGGGAAGTGACACTGGTGGCAAGGGAAGGGACCCATGCAGTTTGCATCCCCCTGGCTGATCTGAAGCTGGACAGTCCTGCTGTAGAGCACTGATAGCCATCTGCCATCAATCTCTTAAATGGATAGGGGCAATCGCCAACTACCCAGCTACCAGCTGAACTTCCAGAGCCTTGTATAATGTAGTCTCCTTCTGTGAGGAGTTCGCAGAGAAACTGTGTTCTTACTTGGATGTTTGTGGTACCAGTCAGTGTAATTTGTTTTAAATGAGAAGATATAAAACAGTACATTCTTGTGTTACTCAAATTGAGGCCACTAGTCTGCTTTGGTAGTGAGGAATTGGCAATGTACAGTACTTGGTGAGAAGCAGGCAGGCCTCATCAGTCTGCTGGTTTTCAGCTCCTTTGCTAAGTACATGCTGATTTAGGATGCAGCAAAAGACCAGTCTCCAAAGACATTTCACAGTGGAGGACTTATGGTGTCACATGTTTAACTTAACACTTCCTGTGTGTATCTACACATGTGCTTTACTGTGGAGTTGACCAATTAGCTCCGTAAAGTGTCACTGTTTACATGAGCACTGTTATTAGGGTGTGGTAAATTAACTAACTCCACTGTAAGATAGTGTTGTCCCTGATAGTGCTATCTTATGGTGGAGTTATTAGCTGTGGTGAAACATGCATGTAAATGCTGGTCTGGGCATGAATCTTGCCCCGTCTGCCCAAGCAGCAGGAGGCCAGACCCTGCCTGCTGCCTAGCCATGCAGCTCTGCACTTTGGGCACTCTTGTGCCCCAGCCAGCCCCTCCACTGTGCAACACCACCACCTGGAGCCTGGTCATATCATGTTTTACCCTTCCTTGTGTAACTAACTAAGTCTGGTATGGTGGAAGGGGAGGGAAGGGTCATGGGGAGAGGGGCAGATTAGTGTCCCCTGCAGTGAGGGAGGGGACAGGGGGAGGGGCAGAAGCTGTCCAGGCAGGGTGAGTGGGGGAGGGGCCCAGAGCCACTGTTTGCACCCTGGGAGGGTGTATGCCCCCCAGATCTGTGCTGGGCAGGATGGGCTTGCAGCCAGGGCTTTGTGGAGCTCTTCTCAGTGGTGCTGGCCTCAGAGCAGGTGCTGGTGGCACTGGGAGGATGCTGTATCCATCCCAAATTTCAGCAGAGCAGTGCTGGGAATGGAGTAGTGGCGAAATTTAGGGTGGATGCAGCATCCTCCCAGCCCCGCTGGCAGCTGCTCTGAGCCCACCCCCTGCTGAGAAGAGCCCCTGTAGCCCTTGCTGCAGTCTGCCCTGCCCAGATCGGGGGGGGGGGGGCACATGCCCCTCCCCCCATGTCTTCCCAGGATGCAAGCAGTGGTAGGAGCTGCCTCCCCACTCCCAGAAGTTGAGGTGCCGAACTCCCCTCACCATGGGGGACATTGATCTGTATTTTAGTCTGAATGCTTCAGGGATCATAGCTACATTTTAGTCCTTGTTTGTTGGTTTTACCATCTTCCATTTGTGAATCTTAAAGCATTTCTGTAAGATGTCAAGACCCACTTTATAGATTCATTCTGTAGCCAGAAAAACAGAAGCAAAATGTTTACCAATAGCAGAACCAACTGGGTCAAGTTGCTACTTATTATTTTTGTGCATTAAGTAATACGCAGCAATCATCTCCCAAACACATTCTTTAGGTGACTGAAAGACTGTTAGGGTTTGAATCCTATTGCATTTACCCAACATGCGAATTGGGTAGCTTTTTCTGGGCAGGCTTCTTTTAGCTATTATCTTTCCAGTGAACAAGGGATAGTATATCTTTTAGGGCTCAGTATGTGAAGTGTTTATTTCTATGGAGTATATAACATTTTTCTTTCACAAATTGTTACTAGAACTAATGTAAAAGTCTCACTTTTTTGTGACTTTTTTTTGCGGGGGGTTCAGTTTGGAGTATTGATTAGGTTTTACTTTTCAGCCTTCCCTTGTGGCTTGTTTGCTCAGAATGTTTAACAGTAATCCAGTTCTAGTTGGTGAAATGGGTAGTAGAAACTTTAATAAAAAAAAAAACACTGTAGAGCCTCTACCACTATAGCTGTGTTGACATGGTCCCTCCTGTGTTCATGCAGCATTTCCCAACAGAAGGGGCTTTTTTGCTAGGATAGCTGCACCTTCCTGAATAACACATACTGTCAACAAAACCACTTTCTTGGTGTAGCAGCATTTGCTTTGGGATTTTGCCAGCATAACTAAGTCAGTGAGAGGGCATGTCTTGTTACAACCTTAACTGATGCAGATCTGCTGGTATAACTTAGGCCAGGACTTTGCCACAAAGTGTTGACTGTGCTTGGCCTTTTGCAATACCAAAGCATGGCCTCCTCCGTCCCCAAAGAAGAGGAGTTTTCAAAGGCATTAAAAAAACAAACAAACAAAAAAAAAAACTTGGGGATTTAAAGAAAAGTTGTTAACTGAGTTAACCCAGTCATGCAGGCTCTATTAGGAAAAGCCTTCTCTTCATTTCGCAGTTAAGCCTTGCTGGCAGTTTTAGAAGGAATCCTGCATTTGGTTTTCCCTTATTTTTACTAGTTGTTACACACTTGTCCTCTTTCTCTGTTTCAGCTCTTTTTCTAGCCACTAGGAGCCATGTCTGATAACGGAGAACTGGAAGACAAGCCACCAGCCCCTCCCGTTCGGATGAGCAGTACCATCTTCAGTTCTGGGGGCAAAGACCAACTGTCTGCCAACCACAGCTTGAAACCCCTGCCCTCCGTACCAGAAGAGAGAAAACCTAGAAACAAAATCATCTCCATCTTCTCTGGCACTGAAAAAGGTAAGATGCTCCCAAGTAGACAAAAATGTTTTGCTACAGGCAGTAGACATGCTGTTGTGGCAGTAGTCCAGAGATTCAAAACAAATCCATAACCTGGAAATCAGTAAACATCAGACTTCATATTCTGATCTTTCCAAGTATGGGTGCTTCTGCCAGGGCATGAGTCTGCAGCCTTTCAGAGTGGAGCTGCTTGTTGCAACCAGACTGCAGCCCTCACACTGCCCATCAGAGCTGCCATCACCTCTGCCACATGTTGCCCATTCCCATCCCTGGTGGCAGGGGGGAGGAGTGATTTCAGCAGTGATGGTGAGCATCACATGCCCTACAGGATAAGGGGAGGTGGGGTATGCTGCAGGGGCATTGCTGGCATGGCATAAGGCAGAGTGGATAGAAGGTGCCAGACTGAGCTTCATGCTACCGATTCCCTGTGAGCTTTAGGTTGCCAACCTCTGTGTGAGGGCGAGTGATTAATATCAAATGCATTTGTTTTGGAGTGAAGAAGAGATTTTTCTGTGCTGTTTGCGGCATGTGGAGTTTTAGGCGGGGGAAGAGGTGAGCTAAATAGGTCCCTGGGGAAAGCTGCTAAAATAACATTCTCTTAGCTCCTTTCATCATTCAGGAAAATCCTTTTAAGTTTATGCTCTTCTCTTAGTTTATTCCTGATTTTTGTGGTATCACACCCCACTTCCTTCCCCGCCCTGCCTGCCCCCTCCCGCCCTGAACCAATGTACAAGTCTCTTCTCACTGTTTGTCCAGTGTAGTGGGGTCCTGAGCTTGGGGTTTGTAAGGGCAAATAAATAAAAATGAACTGATTGTTCCCTTTTCCATATAAATCCAGTTTCAGAAATTTGTCCTTGTAGGATCGTCTCAGCATCCGATAAGGTCAAGTCTGGGATACAATTTTCGCTTCACATCCTTAGCAATTGTTTTGTGATTTAAAATTTATTCTTAAACAAATATACCTGGGTCTCCTTTGGCCATACTGCTGAAACCCTTAAAATTTAATAATTTTTCTTTTTTACATGGTCTCTCTCTCTCTGGAAATTTTATCTGCGAAGACGATTTTTTAAATTCTGTTAATTTAGGTATCGTCTCTAGAGGAACAAATATTTAGACAAAAATTTAGGTCTTTTAAGTGGGTGTGCATAAATGTGATTGGAGTTTGGGGATGAAGGGCATCACTTAGATGTGACACACAGCTGTCTGTCCCTTCAGCTGTCACTGTGACTATGCTCTCCTCCTGAGAACCATAGAGGCCAGGCTCATTCACATTCATAAGATGGTTTTCAGTATTCTGCTGAAGTCTCTCTACAATGGATTGTTGGCATGTTTCTTGTCTCTAAGTAACTTAAAAAACTAGGGGACTGTGGCATCAACACCTACACAGTAAAATGGGTCGCTAACTGGCTGGAGGGCCACATCCAGAGAGTGGTGGTGGATGGGTCATTTTCGACCTGGAGGGATGTGGGCAGTGGGGTTCCACAGGGCTTGGTCCTCGGACCGGCACTGTTCAACATCTTCATCAGTGACTTGAACGAGGGGGTAAAAGGCACCCTATTCAAATTTGCTGATGACACTAAGATGTGGGGGATGTGGGCACATTAGAAGGGAGGAATAGGCTGCAATTGGACTTAGACAGATTACAGGGGTGGGCAGACGAGAACAGGATGGGTTTCAACACTGACGAGTGCAGGGTAATGCACCTGGGGAGGAAGAACCAGCAGCATACCTACAGGCTGGGGAACTCCCTTCTTGTCAGTGCAGAGGCAGAAAAGGATCTTGGAATCATTATTGATGCCAAAATGGACATGGGCCAACAGTGTGGGGACGCGGTCAGGAAGGCCAACTGCACCTTGTCGTGCATCCACAGATGCATCTCGAGCAGGTCCAAGGAGGTGATCCTCACCCTCTATGCGACACTGGTTAGGCCGCAGTTGGAGTATTGCGTCCAGTTCTGGGCGCTGCACTTCAGGAGGGATGTGGACAGCATTGAGAGGGTTCAGAGGAGGGCCACCCGCATGATCAGGGGGCAGCAGGGCAGGCCCTACGAGGAGAGGCTAAGGGACCTGAACCTGTTCATCCTCCACAAGAGAAAGCTAAGGGGGGATCTAGTGGCCATTTACAAACTAGTCAGAGGGGACCAGCAGGCATTGGGGGAGTCCCTGTGCCCCCGAGCACTCCCAGGAGTGACTAGAAATAACGGTCACAAGCTGGCAGAGGGTAGATTCAGACTAGACATCAGGAGGCGCTACTTCACAGGGCGGCTAGGATCTGGAACCAACTTCCAAGAGAAATGGTGCTGGCTCCTACCCTGGGGGTCTTTAAGAGGAGGTTAGACGAACACCTTGCTGGGGTCATTTGACCCCAGTACTTTTTCCTGCCATTGCAGGGGGTCAGACTTGATGATCTGCTCAGGTCCCTTCCGACCCTACCAACTATGAAACTTGGAAGCCAATTATATTGTTACTATTCGTCCATCCAGTATATTTCTTCCTTAAAGTCTCCTGGTTATGCTGAGCCAGTCATGCTGTCGCAGGCTTCACCACCTTGTTTGGTGGGGACTTTTGTTTCTCCAGTGATTTATTTACCACACCAAACCTTCCCCCAACAATCAAACCACCAAGTGAGTCTTTCTTCTCATCCAGCTGTCTGTCCCTTCAACTGTCACTGTGACTATGCTCTCCTCCTGAGAACCATAGAGGCCAGGCTCATTCATATTCATAAGATGGTTTTCAGTATTCTGCTGAAGTCTCTCTACAATCGATTGCAGGCATGTTTCTTGTCTCTAAGGACTTGTTTGTAGAAGAAAATTTAATATTCCTTTTGGAATCTAGAATCGCTTTTTTTTCAGAATGGGCAAGTCTGAAGGTGTTAAGTTTAAGGAAGAATTCAGGGATAATTCTCTCCTATTGACTTCAGGTGTTGGAGACTTAGGAGCTCTAAACTTCCACATTGCTTTGGAAGAAATGGATCCCAAAGCTACTCAGTGCCTGTGTAGGGGACTGTGGAGAAGGAGATACAGAAATAAAGGCCTGGATGGGTCCTTGGCCAATTCACCACATCTTATGTGGTGAATTGGGGAGTAGGGTGGGGTAGTAATTATAGGTCATTCCCAGTGAGATGAGCTTCACAGAGAGCTGATCTTTTTCTGTTGTGACAAGTCCCTTCAGTCTACTTCAGGTCTTGGCTTGATCTGCCTTTGCTGTAAAAATCTGTATTTAACTACTATGATGAAGGTAGTGGCAGCACACTGCTAGGCTCTGAGGTGGAGTATTAAATAGTTGAGGAGTGCAGTACAATAAATAACAGCTCCTTCCATCCTTTCCAACAGATGGGATGCTCCTTGTAAACCCGACCTGCCAATCTGGCTCTTGCAAGTGTCATTGTAAGAGCACTTACAAGTTTAACAGAATGGAATTGACCCTGGGAGGAGGAGAAGACCTGATGTTTAAATTGGTTTGTGGGCACCAGTTGAAAAGTAAAATTGGGTTGAAGTATCTTTAAAAATGAGGGGTAAGCGCAGGATCTCCTGTAATCTGTGAGCAGCTGGAGTTGCATTTAGTGGCCAATCCCTGCTGGTTTATGTGGGAGCTACCAGTGAACCGTAAAAACTGAGTTCAAGTATGAAAATGAGCAATACAATCATTAAAAGTATATATATCATGCTACCACTCGTGTTCAATATTTCTATGTTGTCTGTGTGTATAACTGCACTTTTGAAATTATCAGGAAAATAGAAGGACATTGTGGCAGCTTCATGAAGCCTTGTTGATAGTTGCAGTGGTTGTCTAAAATTTGTTTAAAATTCATTATTTACTAAAGTAGACTATGTCTCTCTGTGCTAATGCTTTTCTGCTTAGATCTGGTTTGTTTGTTTAATTTGGGCCTGCACATTTACTGATACAAGATAACACTAAGGTAATGTGTTTAAGCTAATGTAAGTGTGGACATAGAGGAGTTCACACCACTTTAATTTCAAGTAAAAAATGCACCTTTAGTTAAAGTTGTTCAACATTGTGTGTAGATATGCCCCCCTCCAATAACAACAACAACAACAACAACAACCAAAAAAAAAAAAAAGTGAAAGGATTTCTGTATGAGAAGACAAAATGTATTGAGGTCGTGGGTTTTTTTCTGTAAAGTGAGTTCTTCAGATACTTTGCTATTTGGAGAACTCCAAAAAAAAACCCCCTTATTTGATTATCACAATGACAAGATTTCCAATAAAAATGATACAAACATTCATAAAAATGTTTGTGGGTCCTTATGGCTGTAAAGTGGGCCATAA